ACGTTTTTTTTTTTTTTTTTCACAGGCGACAGCTCACGATGCATCGAGTTTGAAAGGTCGCGACAAAAGATTCGGGAGGGTGTACGGAATCGAATTTACTCGAGGACCATAATACTCCCTGTAATCGCGCGCCACTCTTCGAAAGAAATCGCGATCCTTCGAAACTCGACGGAAGACATGTCTCAAGTTCCTCTTATCGCCGCTGAAGAAACTTCAACAACGGAATCCCCAACTTGTAATATGGTGGTTCTCGAGGTAAAGAAAGAAAAACAAAAAGAAAGAAAGAAAAAATAAGAGAAAAATATATTCGGGTATTAATTTTTCTATTTCACGTCTCTTGTTTGTTTTACGAATATTTACGATGTTTTATATAATCATTTACATTCCTCAATTTTTTTACTTTTCTTCAAAATTTTATCGACCCTTTTTCACCGATTTTTTTTTATCTTTTATCAATCAATTATTTCAAAAATATACAGCGACTAAAAAAATATTTTCATTTAATTTTTTGATTTGATATAATTTCTAATAATATATCGCGCATTTTATAAATTCGTTTCTCTATGTTTAGATAAAATCTGTATCGATCCAAAATATCGTGAAACTCGAAGAACGCTTCTTTTTATTGAATATAGGCAGGTCTACCTGGAGACACGTGGAGATATTGCGTAGAAAGGGAACGACTAGCTGAAAGATCAGAATGGTTTCGCGCGATGCTCGTTGGTCCTCTCGCACCTGCACCCAGCGATCCTCCGCCTCTTTTAAAACTTCAACACGTGGAAAAAAGAGCCTTCGATTATCTGCTCAGGTAAATACGTGATTGATTGAACGTGTTGAGAGTTACATTGATACGATTAATTTCAATATTTGCCTTTGGGAAATTAAATTTTTTTTTTTTAAAGGAATGTTTTATAAAATATTCCATTAATTGATTTTTTTTTACTTTACAATAATTTAAGGATAATTAATAAAAATATTTTTATCAAAAAATAAGTTTGTTTGAAAGTTTCTTTAAAAAAAAAGTCACTGCGCTATTATGGCAACGTCTATATATACATTGACAATAATTGGTACAATCGCCTATTTTTGGATGTTCATTTTAATAACATTCTCACTAATAATTTGTTGCAAACGAAGAATGATTAAATCTCAGTGTCATAGAAAAAAATATTGCAAATATTGTAAATTTCGAAAAAGTTCATATTAGAATTTAACAAAATTCGAATTGGTCAATCTAAATCTCAACAGAAAATATTTGATATAAAATATATTTTACTCAACAGTAGTAATATGGAATTAAAAAAATAGGAATATATCAAGAAAGGATTAATATTTTATAAATTTTTCTTCGAAAGAGGAAAAGAATATTATACATATACGTATTAAAGTATGGAATAAATATGAATAAAAAAATTGTTTAAGAAATGTGAAAAAAGTATGGTTAAAAATTTCCAATTCGATAATACAAATGTCTCTAAGGCAACTGTTTTCCTTCGCACCAAGTCGAAGTTCATCTCTTCTTTGCAGATATCTTCTCGACGAGCCGATCAATTTTCAATCTGTATCCACTGCTAGGGCAACCCTTGATGCAGCTCATCAATATCTTTGTCCAGAATTGGCACGACTTGCTGTTCAATATCTCGAAAGAAATCTGAACTCGAATACTGTGCTCGAAATCTATCAAGGCCTTAGTCTTTATGCGAACCACATAACCTCTGGTTTCAATCGATCATCGAATTTACCCACAGCTCCTCCAGCACCTGGAGACGATGCTGGTGAAATAGGTATTATTTTTAAATCATTTTTAACGTTCAAATCTTTTTACCTGACAAAAATTACAATTCTTAACTATCGTATCTAAATTCTCGATTTCGACTACAATATATATATATATACGAACAACCTTAACCTCTAATCGTGATGTTATTTTCTTTCATATATCAATATTTTTTAAATTTCATTCTCTCTAAATTTCTTGTCGATAGGTTACCTTTTTCGGAAGAATATCCAATAGAGATACCATTAACCAATTCCAACATCTACTAAATTCCCTTTTCTCCTTCCCCAGGATTAGAACGAATGATTAAAAGCTTGAAATCTTAGCCGCAGTCTGTACGCGACTTCTGACCGCTTGTTTGAACGTGATCGACTCGGAACCAGAGGCGGTGTTCGACCAGGAACACTTTGAGGAATTGAACTGCGCCGAAGTCGAGGAATTGGCATGTCGTGACAGCCTGAGATTGGCCAACGAATCTACGCTGTTTCACGCTTTGGACAGGTGGGCAGCGTCTGAGTGCAGAAGAAACGGTGTCGAGCCATCGGCTAGCAATAAAAGATCCGCTTTATCCGATGATGTATGGTACAGCGTTCGATATCCTCTTATGACTGACAGAGAATTCATCGAAGGCCCTATGGCAAGTGGAATTCTCTCGAGCGAGGAGTCGGCTTATATCGTGGCTAGAATTTTGGGACATACGAGAAATGATGAGAGTGAAGAGGTATGTTAACATTTTTTTTAACTTGTGAACTTGTATCACTCAAAAGAGTTTATTTATTCAAATTTTTTTAATGATCAAAAATCGCCAAGATACGCATTGTTTGTTTCTATTTGTTGTTATTTCTTATATTACCGTTAATCTTCCGCAATTGGATAAGAGTCATATTGTTCGAGGTGTTATCGCAGTGAAAGTGAAATACACTTTACTTATCAGGAGTTAGTTACTTATCTTACTGCTGAATACCGCGTTCATGATCAGTATCAGTCAGTATAAATCGTGCTATCTGTCTATAGTTCATTGATTTAATGAATAGTGTGTCCAAATTCTATCTAAACTATAATATATTTATCGAATCATTTAATTTTTCGACTCATTTTTTGTATAATATATAAATCACATTTAACAAGTGTGATTCTATATGTATAATTTTTAATTTTTTATTATTTTTAATATCAAACTAAAAATTGAAGAAGATAAAATAACAAAATCTTATTTATATGTATACTTCGCAAGAGAAAACAAAAAATTAGATAATAAAATTTTATTTTCGTAGTGTGTTGAAGTATTTACTCACAAAGTTCAATATGACAGTTAGAAAGTACAGAATAAATAATAAATCAGAAGATATGAAACCAAATGGGATATACTATAATAAACGTAGAAGAACGGTAAATAAATTTATATCTTGAGTATAACTTACATTATCTTATAAAAATTCCAATATACTTTGAAATATTTTTTATTAAATAAATATACAATAAATTTTATTTTTGCTAAAAATTCATTTTATTAGTATTTTGAAAATAAAAATATTAGTGTATTCATCATTTAAAAGAAAATTTAATAAAACAATAAAAAAAAAATCAAAACTTTTTTCAAAAATTTCACATTTATTTGAAATTTAATTAAAAATAAATATTTTGATTGATAATGTAAATAATCATATAAAAAAGATTTATATTGTTTTATATTATTTTTAGCTTAGAAATTCGATCGGTGGACCATTACCCAGGTTAACCAGCACACCAAGAATCGGTGTTAGGACGTACGAGGATCAAAGCTGCAGGATGTCAAAACCAGGAAAGAAAGAATGTCAAGACAATCGAAAAAATAGAAGAAAGGAATGCGCAACTCAAGGCCAGAGAACTTGCGCGAGAATTGGTAATTGTCTCGTACGAGTTCTCGCATGTATTTTCGATTGAATGACAAAGAAAACCAAGATAAAGAGGAATCGATGAAATCGGCAGATTCTTAAATCTCCCACCGAAAATTAAATTTCTTTTTTACCGAGTCTTTTGTAATGCATTATGATGTAAAACATTATGATTTTTTTGACTCACTAATTTAGATACTAAGAATAATGATTCTGCGTTGAATCGATATCAAGAATCATTTGCTATCGTATCGCTGAAATATCGTTCAGAGCTTGTCTTATAGATCTCGTTTCGTTTTCATATTTGTTCTCTTTTTTTTTCTTTTTTTATTTTACTTTTGCAAATAATCGTTATACAATGACAAGAAAGCTGAAAGAGGCTGAAATTTAATTATGCATTATATGTTAATAATGTCGTTTTTCGTTTTTAGTTTTATATATAAGCTTTTAGATATGACGTTCCTCCTTGAGATGAGATATATTCTTAGAGTAGAAAAACGAATTTTATATGATTGAAATGTTTTTGAATTTTAAATGACTGTTTTGTGGTTTACATATTTTATCATTTTCATTTTCTTTTATAGAGATATTTACTTGTTATATAATCGTAATAAATTTTGATAAAAAAATTTTTGGTTTCAAAAATAATACGATGATGATTTCATACATTAGAAATAACATTTGCTTGACTTTTCCTATAGAATAATAATAGTCATGTTATATTGATCTTTTTTAAATTATATTGCATATAAAGCAAATATTTATAAACTTCTTGGTAATAGTTTAACATTGATATGATGTTGAAGAAAAAACTTATTTGAAAATCGTGTTTTTAAGTTACTATTTTAAAATAGATCAATTCTAAAAAAAAAAGAATAACATTGATAAAGAATATTGTATCTTGAAATTCCTATCATTTATAGGGCCAAATGATATGATAATATCAAATATGATTAATTTCATATCTATTTAAAATTTTATTCGTTATCTTTGATACAAAATTTTACACGACTTTTAAGAATAAGTTTTCAAAAAAATGTTTAAAAAGTATTTATAATTCTATATATCAAAAACTAAAAATTCCATACAGATAACTTTTTAATATGATTTCTTTTTTTCTGTATTAATTCATATATTAATATTTTTAATGAAAATAAAGATAAAAAACATCAAAATTTTTTGTAAAAATAATAGACAACCTGTATGGAACTCTTAGTTTTTCATTGTCACTATTACCTGTATCTTGTTGTATGTTAATGCTATTTTCGTTGTGTTCATAATTGCTGTTCAAAGTATAGTATAGCATTTAAATTATGAGTTAAAGTGTGGAACCATGGCTGGTCCGTGTGAATGTGCGACGTTCAACAATGTAAATTTCGTTTTTACAATAATTTTTCTATGCGCCATCAAATTATTATAAACAGTAATTCTTAGATTGCATTTTTCACAATTATCATTTCTTTCAAGATTTTATATGTTTATAATATCTTGAACGTCCACTTCAATTATCATTTAAAACAGCTCCGACTTATCTCTTTGTTAATAAGTAAATGTTGAGCTTAAATTTTAAAGGGTAAAATCAATTTAGAGTTAGTACGGTTAATATATTTGGTTTAAATTTAATATACACTTGATTGACTTGTTTAAAGAATTTCTATAGCTAAAATTCTAATTTAAATATTCATTTAAAAAAATGTTAAAACTATTAGTTTCCTTTATTAGTTATAAAAATTATTATCATATGATTGTTAAAGATAAACAGTACAAAATTTAAATATTCTTATGCGCTTTTAAATCTTAACATAGTTTTTATATTTATTTAATTATTGAACATATAATGACATTTAAATTAATTTTATATCATTACATGAATAATATATGAATAATATTATATTTACATTTTTAGATTTTTATTTTCTTTTAGCCAATATGTATATTTTTTTATTAGGATTATTATTAAGAAAAAATCATCAAGTGTTTATGTTTAAACCGAATATAATATATAATTGTTAACATCGAATTTTATTAGTAAATATGATATCACATCATTATAATAGATGTAAAAAATCGTGATTATTGAAGCGATATTCATCGTTTTCACGTTAATTGTCATATTCGTTTAACAAGCACCTTTCGCGAGCTAATGTCATAAATAGCCGCGTAGGCGTTTATTGTCGTTACCATTATGCATTAGTCATTAAATCTCGTGTTGCTATTTGATCGGTTAAATTTTATTCACTGCGGCTCGTATTCAGATTACGTTAAGATCGAATGTGATTATACGAGTATCGTTAAGTCTATTGTGTGTTAAAGATTATTTACAAATCGATAGAATATTATAATCTGATTAATTATTTGTTCAAATTTATTGAATCGAATTGGTTATAAAAACAAATAAATTCATTTTGAATCATTGATTATTTATAATAGCTTCTGTAAATTGTGTGATAATATTTTTCAATTTATTTTGTATATTTCTGTAAACTAAGAAAAAGTTGAAAAAAAAAATTGCAAATGTAATAATGAATTCTAGTGAAAATAAAACGAGCATAGAAATCTTAATATTAATTTTCATTAGAAGTCCAAAATGTAATAATCTATATTTTTTATTAAAAATTTAGATATATTATTGGATATATAATTTTAAAAAAAATTTGGCGAAAATACGATCAATTTTCGTCTATGGTTAAACGTCACTAGCAAGTATAGACAAGGAGAACATGTAATGGGAGAAGAACAAAGATAGAATAAAAATTAGGAAATCACCGCCATCTAGAATGCCGTAAATGAAAATAACATATAGATAAAAAAAGCAAATAAAGATAGATAAAAATTATAAAATCAATGTCATCTTCAGAATATCGCAAATGAAACACAAGGAGGCAAGGACAACAAATAGAAAAGGTTAGAGATAGTAAGAATTAATCATCTACGCCATCTTTTGAATATTAAAAATATCTTTATATAAAAGCATTCAAGAGATGCTACATAGATTTCATTTTTACGGTAGCATGTAAAGATAGCATTAAAATTTTTATTCTATTTCTATTTTTTTCTTATTATTTGTTCTATATATTTCTCTTATTATATGTCTATATATATTAGTTTTAATTACAGTATTCTGCAGATGGCGCTGATTTCCGAATTTTTATTTTATCTATGTTTTTCTATTATTTATTTTTTTAATCTATATTTGTTCTATTCATATTGTTGTAAAATTTATGCATAAAATGATTTCAATATCTAATTAAATTATTATTTTCTTTACCTAATTTATTAAAAATGATTAAAATGATTAAAAATTTTCGGAATTTATTCAATCCAATTTTTATGTGTCGTTTAATATATCCATCATATAAATATATATTTTTTTATTTTGTATTATAATATCTATTTTAAAGTAAATAAATAATATTTAAATAAAAAAAATTATTTTTATAAAATCACAGACATTTATACCATAAATAATTAAAATTTATTCTTATAATTTTGAGAAAATATAATTTTCTAAATTAATAATAATATCATTATTACATTTATGTTTTATTGATATGTTTTTATTTTGTTTATTATTAAAATTTAATTGATATATATAGTGATATATATATTCATATAAATTTCTCCATGATTTTAACATCGATAGTTATCTTCGAGATAAAATGGCGGCGTACATACAACCTAGTATAATATCAATATTATAGTTTTACGTTTTTTAAATCTTTAAGTATTAGAAATAAGCACAGTGACAATAAGTAACTTTAAAATCTATAAAAATTTTAAACATATGCTTAAATAAATATCTATTAAATATTCTAATCTATTGTAACGTATTAGTACGCCGTATATACATAATTTATATATTACTTTTTTTATGTTAGTCATATTTTGATGTTACATTTATGTTACATTTATAAAATATTTTATCTAATTTAAAAAATTAGTGCTAAATAAATAAGATGCATACAACTGGAAATTTTATTTTACATGGTGGTGATACAGCATTTGCAAACAGACAAAAATTATTATTTGATAAATTATCAGATGCAGAACAAGAATGTAATAAGAATAAAATTGTTAATGAATCCATAGATATGGATTCAAATATTGAACAATCAAACTACTTTCAAATTTTAAAAGCTGGCCGTCAAAGTCAAACAAGAAGATTTCGTGGTAAAGAAAGTATATTTAAGAGACCAGAAGGTCCAGCACCACGTGCTCTTAATAGAAGTATACCAGATTTTCATAAGAATCCTCATAAATGGAAAAAATATAGTTTGGATGATGTATCCAATGATGACATGACAGAAGAAAGTAATACAAGAGCTGCATTGTCATTTTTAAAAGAATTAAAAGCAAGGAGATCGTTGGAAAAAATGAAACAATCAGAAAAAATGGATATAAATGAATCTGATTTAGTTAACAAAAGTCAAATGAAAATAATATTTAAATCTAAGAAAAAGAAGATATCTACTGAAATTGGATTTAAAAAACCTGAAAATAATACTAATATAGATAATATACCAATTATTATTGAAAACAATGATAAGCCAGTCTTTAAGAATAGTAAACTTATTATGCCAGAATATGTTGTTGGTCAGAAAAGAAAGACAAAAGTTAAGAAAGAAAAATGTATAACGAAGGTAGATAGATCAAAACAACTTAAATTAGATCATCTAGAAGAACTTGATGAAGAAGAAAATTAAATATTAATGAATTAATTATTATTTAAAATTTTCTGTATAATATGAGTATTTAATATGTTATTGATTAAATTGATTAATTGTACTTTGAATATAGCAGCAATAAATATACTGTACATCATTTTAGCTATAAAATGTTCTATGCTTTATACGATTTTATTGAACTTTTTATTCTTAATATCTTTGTTATAATATTATAATATTAGAATAAATTTTCAAAAAATTTGATAAATTTTTAGAAATTTAAATAAAACCGCTCTAACGGATTCTTCCGGAAATGATGCGATTGCGCACATATCACCGCGGGTTATGACTGTTTCCTGTCGGCTTTATTCGTTGGCTATTTAAAAGTCGATTGTCTATTTTAATTATTTTCAAGTTTTTGTATGTGAGATGTTGATCGATATAAGAAATATAAACTACTGGACTTTGGTAAGTTACGTAATATATTCTTGAAAGATTATTTATCTTGCTAAATTACGCTGTGCAATTTATTTACCCAATTGGAGGGGGGAAAAAAATTTATAACCTATACACACTACTTCATCACGTATTCAAAATGGCGTGCTGCTAGTGAACGAAAAACGCAGTTAAAATTTATGTTCGACGTGGTGCTAAATTTATCATTCGTATTTCTTTATGTGGTGAATTTAATATTTTGTTAAAAAAGCAAAAAATATAAAGAGGTTATGACACTATTCCCGTGTGTGTCATTTTAGGAAGTTCGTTAGTATATTGATAATCGAGGTACGGAATTAATAATGCAGGAAATCGTCCTAGCAGCCTTCTCCGTGATATCGAGTCTACTCATAGTATTTGGCCTGGTGCTGCTGGGTAAGAACGACAGATAGTAACGTTCCGTTATTGCTGCGCGGTATGCAGAGTGTTTCGAAACATTGTTATCCGACCTGTCGAATAGTCATATAGTTCCGAAGTTGAAGGTATAGTAGGAGAGTTGACTACATACTTACATACTTAATCTTTTTCATTACATGTATGCATAATCTCGACGTCAATTTAGGTTTTAAAAATTTAAAACCTATTTTGTTTTGTATCTTTCTCTTATAATATATATATCAACATAAAATTCTCTATGGTTATTGTTTGTAATATCAATTATATTCCCATTACATTATTTGGTTTATTCTTTAATTCGGTGTCCTCGTTAGAAATAATTTTTATAACAATTGAAATTATATGTAGTCTTTATGCTTAATAAAAGTTTAGTGTAGGTGTGCAATTTTTACAAGATTTCTCATCCTTAAAGGTTTGTTTTGTCTTTTTTCACAGGTTGGTATTTAGTTTGGAAGTTTTTCCTTTCAAGATTCAGGTTTGTTCGAGAACTATTGGGTGGTATGAGTGAATCTTCACCTGTAAATGACTTAAAGAATGGTAGATCTCGTATGAAAAAAATTCGCAAAGATTAAAGATTAAAATCACATTTATAAATTTGAAACAAAAGTGATTAGTAATAAGAGAAAATATATCAAAAAAAGAGAATTGACCAAAGCAAAATTGTCTTTCATTTATATATCTATAACATTATAAATAATCAAAATGTCTATAAATATACGCTGTGCTACAACAGATGATTTGTTGAATATACAGCATTGTAATTTGCAATGTCTACCAGAAAATTATCAAATGAAATATTATTTGTATCATGCTCTTTCTTGGCCACAATTAAGTTACGTAGCAGAGGATGAAAAAGGCAGAATAGTGGGCTATGTTCTTGCTAAAATGGAAGAAGATTGTGAGGATAATCCACATGGACACATCACAAGTTTGGCAGTAAAAAGATCTCATAGAAGGCTTGGTATTGCTCAGAAACTTATGAATCAGGCTTCTAGAGCAATGGTTGAATGTTTTGGAGCAAAATATGTTTCTTTACATGTTCGTAGAAGTAATCGGGCAGCTTTGAATTTATATACAAGCAGTTTGCAATTTGAAGTATCAGAAGTCGAACCAAAATATTATGCAGATGGAGAAGATGCTTATGCAATGAAACGCGATCTTAGCAGCTTTTACATGGAAAAAAATGCAAAAGAAAAAACAAACAAAGATGGTAATACACACATACATACTGGCAGATGCTGTGATCGTTCATAGTCAGATTGGGATGTTCATCTATAATTATTAGGTTGTTGATGATTTTTTGCATCATTAATTCCATACTGAATTTAATCATACAATATGTATTTTTCATAAATGAATTTTCACGAAAAATATGAAATATTGATAAGTCAAGCATCATGGCTTGAATGTTTAATATACATATTATCACTATTAAAATTTTGCAAACACTTAGGATATTTGTGTTCATTCAAGCCTTACCTAAGACATATGAAATGTTTTATATGTTATTACAAGAAGAAGGTGTACTTGTTAATAATTATACAGGGAATAGGAGAGAGACTTCTAAATAATGTATGTACTTCAATGCAAATTGAGTTAAAAAGTTTCTAATAAATGTAACATTGCGTGTAGTTAATTGATATACTATGTTATTTAAGACCTATGAATCTTAATATAATAATAAAGATGATGAGCAGAGATGATGATGAAAGGTTTATCATTTTCTACCTGTATTCAATTAATCTTTATTGAATCATTTTGAAACTATAATATACAAGTAACGCGTCAGTATACAAAATTATCACCCAGATTTCATTAAGCAAATCAAATGCAAGATGATATAACTTTTTAAAGAAAAATTTTCTTTTTCAATATTCATTCATTATCTGGTCTTTGTATTTGTATTATTTAAAATGATTCTAATCATTTTTTCTATCTGTAAATACTTTATGTATCCTCTTGAGTATGATCAAATACTTAAAAATTAAAGTTTTATAATTGCACAAAAATTTTTAAATATTTCATTTCTTTCGTCACTGTTGCGTTGATTACTGTATTTGTGTATACATCGTAATAGGAATAATTATAATATACATATATATGTATATAAATATACTTATGTACATATTAAATGTCCTTGAAGTAACAAACTATTTTCAAGTTCAAAGGACTAATTTGAAAGTCATAGATTGATTAATTTTTTAATTTCGTAATCAATGTACCTGATAAAAATTTCTAATAGTTTATTATGCAATTTATGTAAGTTTTCAATGTAAATCAATTAGAATTAACGAACCATCAATATTTAAATTCTAATTGAGAATTCTTACTGATAAAAAACTTCATTTATAAATTTTCAGAATTTTAAAAACATTGTCCGATTGTAAAATTATTTCAATATAACAAAATTCCAGGTACGATGTGCGATCAAACGAAATGATATGATAGTACAAAGGCAATATATATAATTCATGCATTTCACATTTTCTTTTTTTTCTTGATATAAAAAAGAAAAAAAAAATCATTCCACCTAATAGCACGTCGCAATTAATTGGAATATGATTTTCAATGAGAATGTGATAAGCACCTATTGATATCACCTATATATAAATTCTAAATATACAGTAAAGTATAATAATTTGAAAATTGCATTTTATCTTACAAAAACGCTCCGCCAATAAATTATACAATTCTTGTAAACGAACTTTATGTTTACAAGATATGCTTCAATTATATAATCTTTAAAAAATAAACTATAAGCTATATCGTGGTAAATACTCTTTAAATGTTGAATGATCGTCTTAACTTATTTCTTAACATTTTGATACCTTACTTTAACGACTTCTTTTTTTCTTTTTCTCTAAAAAAGAAGACACAAAAAAATTGCATTTTGAAAGATGATAAAGTAAATACTTTAAATGATGGATCTTAAAGCTGTGTTATAAATTTGCGGTTGTCGATTACCTTTCATAAAACGTAAGACTGTAATTTTATGGATAATCGAAGAATACAATTTGTTTATGTAAATTATTAAATTTAAAAAAAAATTCTTAGTTTTTTAAATATGTATTTTCTTTTAATAAAAATCGCAATCCTGCCGATTATAAAAGTTTTAAAGCGTACGTCAGAATAATCTAAAACTAACCTCTACGATAAGGAAACGCTGCGATCGCAATGAAAGTTTTATAATCGGTAGGAGTTTTATAATCGTTAGCCAACGATAATCGATAAATTTATCGTATATAAGGCGTATTCGTTTCGTATTGTTTCCAAGTTATTATTTTCGTATCGCTCCTGTAAAGGGAACACGTCTTTTAATCGAATTAAATTATTGGAATGATTGTAAACGGTTTACAAATCTGATGCTTTTTTTTTTTTGCAGTCTCTTTACTGTGCGTTTGCGATTGATCAAATACATCGAAAGGCCCATAAAAAGATATGACGCGAAAAAGTCGCGCCATGGCGGTAAAATTGTATAAAATTCGTTTAAAATTGGCCTCTAAAAAGACAGCGTTTTTGCATTCGAATTTTTCGGTACAAAGGTTAATGCCATAAACGTTGCTGTTACGAAGTATTTTTATATATAAAAAAATCCCTTGTGGCATTTGCAGTTCATTTTGCAAGAAATATTAGGCTATTGCGTTTTCTTTTTTATTTTATATAATCTTATTAAAATTAACCAATATTTTCGTTGCAGTATAATATATCGTAAACATACTTGCAAATGAAAATGTTTCATATTTTGCTTATTTTTAAGTTTTCGTCACATGATACACACCTAGAACAATAATTAACACGCTGGCAACGACAACTGCGTATCAAGTTCGAAATAAATCTCGTTTTCAAGCAAACAATACACGTTTCGAGAATCATTTCGAACGCATTCTACACATACTATCGATCTTTTACGTCGTTTAATTAATTCCACACCTCTAGCTAATGTACGACACGATTACATGGTTTTCTAGAAAAGTCTACGATCTCTATATTCTCGAGTACATTAGAAACATACGCTCATTTTAAAGGAGCTTTCCCTTACGTTCTATATACCTGTGGCTTTGGCAGTTGCGTATATCTAAGTAACGATAGGCCTCGAGAACTCTTTATTGCAAACAAGAGGGAAGAATGTAATTTCTAGTCGAGCGAAAAAGCAAATTGGCGTTTTCTTTCCTGGTCCAGTTGATTTAACAATCAATAATTCATATTTCTATTCTCACAGATCTATTTTGTAATCATCCAAACCAAAAGTTGGATTTTTTTTAATCTACATTCATCATATTTATTCAAGAAAATCTATCAATTTCAAATTGTAATTTTTACCGTCATTTACTCACTTCATTCTTCATTATTTCTTCACGATTATCTCTCTTTTTGATTGGATGATTAAGCATCGCGATATTCTAACGGATGAGTTGTTTCTTTTCTACCAAATCGGTAATGAATACATAATCTATGACATAAATTTTTTATTCCTTTTTTTTTTTTTTTTTATCATTCCTACTACAGTTCGTATACATTCCTAATGAATAGTAACTGTTTGATCATTAGGATTGTCAATCAATCCAAGGAACTTGTTAGAGGTGTCGTGAATTCAACATTAGCTTCTTTTCCTAAAATAAAAACGACAAATCCTTTTTCAGCTCGTATATATCCAAATTTGTTCCTCTTTCTTATTTTTCCCCTCGTTTATGTCAGAGATTAGGACCTGATCTTTGGATGCTCAAGGTTGTTGCGCCCCGCACTTAATTATCGCGACCTTCAAATCCTTGGCCAAGTGGGAGACGTCCACAACACTGTCGACCATTTCTTGAACGGCGGATACGCTTGGAAAGAATTGAGCTGCCTGTTTCGTCTTCGACACCGTCTGTTTCAACGCTTCGTTCAACGCGTTTGCGCATTCTAGCACGCGTGTTTTCACGTCGTTCCTAGTAACGTTTCTGTGCACCGTGTCACCGATGTGCACCAATCTATGAGCGCTCAGCACCACGAACTTTCCATGCGCTAGGAATACCTGTTTTCAACAAAACAATGAAAAACAATTTTTTAATTAATTCGATCGATTAAATAAATTCCTCTTTCTGAAAAAAATCCCTCCTATTATCCCATATAACACGTCCTCGATCTTACTATAATTCAATTTCCATTACATTAGCCTCTTATCATTCATCCCTTCACAAATCCTTTTGTCTACAAATCCAATTTCAAGCGGTCTGAATATTCCCCTAAACTACTCGAGGAAGTCTTATCGTCGTACGGCACGCGGTTTATAATCGGTTCACAATAGCCAATCGGATTTCCAAGTTTACTCGCCTTTGGTGGCTGGTTGTGCTCGACCGTCTGCATGAAGGCGTCAATCGCGTGAGTCAGGTGATTGCCATGCGTGATCACCTGGGCGGCGTAGAAGGCCAACAATTGTTTGTCGTTTGGGTCCATGGGTGTCGGTGTCGTGGGTGGCATTTGAATCGTGGCATTGTCCGATTCGGATACCAGCAGATCGTAATTGCTGCGAAGCTCCTGGGGCAGGGACGCCCTCACCTCCTCGCGTTGCTTCGCCACCACCTCTCTCGAGTCCAGTTTCACGTAATCGTAATCCTCCCCTGCCCCGCTATTGTTACTGCTACCGGTGGAGATGATCGACGACCGTTTGAAGAGAAGCGTCGAATTACCCTGATTTCACGAGTTTGATATTATTTATCAGTGGATGATGAAAAGAATTAACAGATCAACACGTTCATGCCGCCATATTCGGGTGATGTTTATTTGATTACTTATGAAGGATCTTCCTAGGTATTTGGAAAGATGTAAAATAAAATTATTAAATTGTTACAAAAATAATAAAAAAATTATCTTTAATGCAAAATTTTAAAACATTCTATACAAAGCTTGATCCGGATAATTTGGACAAAAAGTTGTTGTCTTTTTTTGAATTCTTTCGTGCGTTTGATCCTTTCGTTTGTCTTTTATCTGAATAATATAATTTTCATGCAGTCTAATACTTATGTCAGAATTATTTTTCCAGCTATTTTTTTATATTTTTTATTTTATATTATTTTATATTTTTTATTTTTGCAGCTAATAATTCTCTAAATCTTTTAATTTTGGGGTATCACGAGTGTCATGGTGATACGATAATTAGATAGTTTATGACTACCTGCTGTGACATTGTGAGAGACCCTGGTCTCTAATAGACAAGCTACACGAATAATTTATATACAATCCACAATTAACAAGTATATTTATTACGACTAATGGAAAGACAGTCTTATCCAAATTATTCAAATTAAAATATACAAAATATAATAAATCAGTACTTTGTCAATACAATTATTATCATCAATACTTCTGGAAACAAATGGAAACAAATGATGAAATCAATTAAAATATCCATAGAAGTACACTTGATACAGTGGAAGCTTGAAGGAGATTTCGTTAGAAACACGCGTGGCAATCAATGTGTTGTATTTCTATCGATATTTTAGTAATTCGAGTCGTGCTGATAGTCGTAAACGATGTCTCGCATTAGAAGTATTGATAATAGTAATTATATTGACTATAGTATTGAATAATAGTATATTTTGGATATTTTAATTTGGATAATATTTGGAATGCCCTTCGACTAGTTATAATAAATATACTTCTTAGTTGTGAATTGTATATAAATTCTCATAATGTCATAGCAGGTAATATTCATAAACGTGTCAGAGCACGATTCATAAACTATTTAATTGTCGTATCATCATGAGACTCGTGATAGAAATTAGAAAATTTAGAAGATTATTAGCTGCAAAATTGTTAGGATTACCTGAAAATACAACAAAACCTTGTCAAAACCTTCAACGAAATCAATACAATATTGGAAAAATAATTCTGGTATATAAGTATTAGACTGCATGCAAAATTATGTTATTTAGATAAAAGACGATAAACGGACCAATTAAATGCGAAGG